AAAGACATGGAAGACTGTGATTTAAATGATAGAATTCAAGATTGCAGTTCTAAAAAGGCTCTAGGAGACACAAGAAATTTCAATCAACTCAGGAATAAAGATACAAGAAAATTCAGAAAGGCAGTTCAATGAGCTCAGGAATTTCAATCAACTCAGGAATAAAAGTAGTACTTTACTAAAGAGATTGAAGGAAACTATAAAACATAACCAAACAGAAATTCTGGAGCTAAAGAACTCAATAAATGAGATGAATAATGAATTAGAGAGTTTAGGAAATAGATAACCAAACAGAAATTCTGGAGCTAAAGAACTCAAATGAGATGAAGAATGAATTAGAGAGTTTAGGAAATACAACAGACCAGGTGGAAAAAAGAATGATCTTAAAAATAAAAATCTAGAAATGAATCGGGTAGAAAAAGAGAATTGAGAGTTAATAAAAAATTAAGTCTACAAGAACTATGACTACATTAGAAAGAAAAATATAAGAATAATGGGTATACCAAAAGAGGTAGAAGAAAACAGCCTATTCAATCTATGAGAACTTCCCAAACCTATGTAAAAAGATGAACCCTCAAATCCAAGAAGCTACAAAAACATCTAATTATCTCAATCCCAAAAGACCTCTTTAAGACGCATTATATTAAAATTGTCAAAAGTTAATGACAAAGAATTTTCAAGGTAGCTGGGTGGGGGGAAGACTAGCCTATAAAGGAAACATCATTATATTATCATTGACTTTTTAAACTGAAACCTTACAAGTTAAGAGATATTAGAATCGAATATTCAGAATGTTGAAAGAGAAATCATCAGTCAAGAATAATATATTCAGCAAAGCAATCCTTTAGATCAGAGGTTCCCAACCCCTGAGCCATGGACCACTACTAAGCCATGGACCACTACTGGCCCATGGCCTCTTAGGAACCAAGCCACACGGCAAGTGAGTGGCAGGTGAGCCAGTGAAGCTTCAACTGTATTTGCAGCCACTCCCCAGTACTAGCATCGCCACCGCTTCAGCTCCACCTCAGATCATCAGGCATTAGATTCTCATAGGAGCACCAGTCCCTGGTGCCAAAAAAGGCTGTGGACTGCTGCTTTAGATATAAAGGAGAAATAAAAAAGACACACAAATGGCCAACGGATATATGAAAATATGCTCAACTTTACTAGCTATAATGGAAATGAAAATCAAAACCACAACAAGATACCACAACACACCTGTGAGAATGGCTACTATCAATAAGATAAGAAATATCAAGTGTTGGAGAGGATGTGGAGAAAAGGAACCCTTCTTCACTGCTGGTGAGAATGTAAATTGGTGCAGCCTTTTGGAAAACAGTATGGAGGTTTCTTGAAAAATTAAGAACAGAGCTACCACAAGACCCAGCAATCCTCTTCTGGGTATCTACTCAAAAAATTTTTAAATACTTATTTGTAATGATATCAGTACTCCTATGTTCATTGCAGCATCATTCACAATAGCTGAGACATGGAAACAACCTAAATGTCCTTCAATAAAGAAGATGTGGTACATATGTACAATGACATACTACTCGGCCATAAAAAATATAATGAAATATTGCCACTTTTGACAATATGAATGGATCTTGAGAGTATCATGCTAAGTGAAATAAGTCAGATGGAAAAGGACAAGAACCATATGATTTCACTCATATGTGAGATATAAAACAGAAAGCAACAAACAAATTCATGGACAACAGTATGGTGATTACTAGAGGAGAGGAGGGAGGTGGGGAATTAAGAGAGTACAGGGGGTCAAATACATGGCGAAAGAAGGAGATTTATCTTTGGGTAGCGAACACACAATGCAATATAGAGGTGATGTTTTATAGAATTACATACCTGAAATATATATAATTTTATAAAGTAATGTTACCCCAATACATTTAATTAAAAATAAGAGTGTGGTACTGAAGGGAATAGATACATAGATCAACAAGGCAGAATTGAAACCCAGAAAAAAACTAAAACATATCCAAACTGATTTTTGACAAAGATGCAAAAGTAATTAAGTGGAAGAAGGATAGCATTTCAACAAATGATGCTAGAAACTGGACATCCACAGGCAGAAGAATGAACCTCAACCAAAGCTTACACCTTAAATAAAAACTAACTCTAAATGAATCACAAACTTTAATGCAAAATGTAAATTATAAAATTTGGGAATGGGGCAGAGAGGAGAAAAGGGATTTAGGGCTAGTCACATAGTTCTTAGACATGAACTCGAAAGTATGTTCCATAAAAAGAAAAACCGATAAACGACCTCGTTAAAATTAAAAATTTTTGACCTGCAAATGACCCTATTAATACATGAAAAGACAAATAACAGACTGGGAAAAATATCTGTACACCACAAAGCCAATAAAAGACTTGTATCTGGAAAATATAAAAACTTCTAAAGCTCAAAAGGAAAAAAAAACTAAAATAGGCGAAACACATGAACAGACATTTCACTAAAGAGATGATGAATAAGCACAGAAAAGATGTTCAATATTATTAATTAATCATTAGGGGAATGCTAATTAAAATCACGGTGAGATATCGCTATACATCTGTCAGAATGAGTAAAATTTAAAATAGTGATAACGCCAATGGAAAATCTAAAATACAGTCATATTCTAAAGTCATTTGGCAAATTCTTCTCAAACTAAAAATGTACAACCTATCAATTTTCACTCTTGGGCATTTGTCCCAGAGAAATGAAAGCCTGTGATCACATAAAACCTGTATATAAATGTTAATAGCAGCTTTAATTATAATATCCAAAAACTGGGGAAAATGCCAGTGTCCTTCAATGAGTGTGAAAAGTTCAACTGTAGAACATCCCCTAAGATGAATAAATAAAGGGACTGAGAGCATCAGTATTTTAAAGATGTTATTTTTCTTCCCAATTCATTTACAGATTCAACTCAATTTTAATCGAAATTCCAGCAGGCTTTTTCGTTTTCTTTTCTTTCTTTCTTTCTTTTCTTTTTTTTTTTTTTTTGGTAGAAATGGATAAGTTGATTCTAAAATTTATTTGGAAATACAATTTTCTTAAAATAGTCAAAGCAATTTTTAAAAAGAGAAATTTGGAGGGTTAACTCTGATTATCAAACTTACTATTAAACTATACTAAACAAGATAGATATTGTGATATTGCGATATACAGATCAAGAGATCAGAAGAAAATATAAAATCCAAACACAGGCCACACATTTTATGGTCAAATGATTTTGAACAAAGATGCCCAGTCAATTCAATTGGAAAAGAACAGGTTTTTCAAAAATGTTGTGGGAATAAATGAATATTTGTATTTAAGAAATCATCAACTCATACCACACACAAATTAACTTAAAGTGAATCACAGACCTAAATGTGCAAGCTAAAATTATAAAACTTCTAAAAGGAAACAGAAGAAAATCTTCACAAATTCTCATAGGCAAAGTTAGATAGCACACAGTATTAAACGTAAAACAAAAATTGGTTAACTGGGCTTAAAAATTCCTGCCTTTCAAAAACTTCACTATGTAAACAAACAAACAAATGAAAGGCTAGCCATAGAACAGAATGAAATATTCATAACACATGTCTGACGAAGGTATTCTATCCAGACTATATAAATAAACACTATAATTCAATAAGAAAACAATTTAGAAGTAGAAAAATTTTTAAGTAGACTCTTTATAAGATATACGAAGTTCAATAAGCACAGGAAAAGATGCTTAACAACAAGAAAATGCAAATTAAAAGCACAATGAGATGCCACTATACACCCATTAGAATTGTTATTATTAAAACAACTAACAATACTAAGTGTTGGCCAGAATGCAAAGCACTGGTACACTCACACATGTTCCGTAGAAATTGGAAATGATACAACCGCTTTTGAAATCTGGCATTTTCTTAAAAAGTTGAAAATGTACTTATCATCAATTCCAAGAGAAATGAAAACATGTCCACACAAAAACTTGTAAACATGTGTTCATAGCAGCTTTATTCACACTAGTCAAAAACTAGAAACAACCCAAAAGCCCATCAACTACACATTGAGTATATTCATACAATAGAATACTAGTCAGGGGTAAAAAACAATAAATTACTGATATATGCAATCTGGATGAATTCTAAATTCATTATGCTGAGTGAAAATGGACACAAAAAACACATAACTGTATGATTCCATTTATATAAAATCCTAGAAAATGTAAAGGAATTCATAGTGTCATAAAACTAATTGCCTAGGGGGATGGATGAAGGGAGGAAAAAACTGCAAAGAGCATAAAGTAAATTTTCTGTATGACTGAGAAGATAGTTTGTTGAGTATAGTATGCATCTGCCAATACTCTCAAAATGTAGGTTATATATGATGCAGTTTATTTGTGTAAATTATACTTCGAAAAAGCTGAGGTATTTCTAATGACACTCCTTTAAGAGTCTGAATATAGAAATAAATGTCATGGTGACTACCTTACACGAGTTCTTAATCACTCCCCCAAATATCACGCTTTTTCATGCTTAGAGACTGGTGGGTTTGCACTGACTCTTTTGCTTCCATTTTCTTCTATTTGTATTACTTATATTTGCAAACTGGGATAGAAGTTTAATTTGTGGCAGGCAATCTGAAACTTTAACCTCCTTTCCTCTAAAGCAGAGTTTACAACCATAAGTCTTCCTGACATAATGTTTAAATAACATTGCTGATTAAATCCAGGCATGGGGAGCAAAGAATAACATTATCAGCCCAAAGTTACATGAAGTTGCAAAGAAACATAAAGCAATCAGATACTTTTTTCTGTAGATGAAGTTAGAAAAAGAACACTCCTGCAACATTAAAATAGATTTTACCTTAAGAGTAGTTTAAAAGGTCATTTCAAACTACCGTAAGTGAATATAGTATCATATAATTTCACACAAAGACTACCATCAGTTTTGATACACTTCTCACTCTTCAATATTTTAAATACTTTATTTTTAGGATCAAATATCCAAAACTAATTTACCGAAGAAATGATTTAATATTTTCAGCTTTCATCTCGGATACCAGATTCCACCGTATACTTTGATGATAGCGCAGTGAAGTGGTCGTTTCTTTGAGAGGCTTAATAAACCACCCTGGGGAAGAATACACACATGATTGCTTTTAATTTTTATAAAAACTACAAACAAACAAACAAAACAAACAAGCCCTTCCTTAAGAAACAAATCATGGTGAGCTTTATAAACATATTCATATTAAATGTAAAAAATCTTCAAATTCTGCTGTGTAGTGTAATTCTGAGGTGGTTAAAACAAGTTTTATATAAAGTTCTTTTCATTTTCCCACATGTTGCCCATCAAGGCAAGGGCCTTTGCCTTTCTTGTTCTCCCCGGGGTCTAGTTCTTAGTGCAGTACCTGACACACAGGGAGCATTCCACAAATATTCAACAAATGATGAAGGAAGAGAAGTTTTTTCAGTGCTGCCCATGTTAATTGCAAGTTTTGACTCATTAATGATGCTTGGAACTGAAACCATCGTTTTTCATCTCTGAGGACTGCGACAATTCAAAATTGTCTTTCCATCAGCGGTTATCAGTACCCTGAACTCAGTGAACAGTTAATAAATCCGGATTTCAGTCACACTTTATTAGGAAGGCCCGAATGCATTCCATTCGGTTTCCAGTTTGGCTGAAATTCACGGAGTTCTCCACCCCGACTGAGCTCAGCGGGCGGGTGAAGCCAGCACAGTCGGACCC